AAAAAAAAAAAAAAAAATGTGAAGCGGCGCGATCGTAACAAGATAAAAAATGTGTCTCGAGCGATCGATTGTCGATTGGAAGGGGAAACGCAGAACTGAGATCGCGAACGTCGACAGACGAAACACTCTGCCGATAATCTTGCGTCGTGGTTATCGTAACGCGTTAAATCGGCTACTTGAACACTCGCGTAACTATCTATCGAGATCCTCCTCTTAACAGCCTCGTTTCGACCACGGGTAACAAAGTCTTTTGACAAAACGTGTGGAAACGTCTTTCCTTTCCCCTCTGCTCCCCAATTCTTTCCACCTCTTCCATTGTTACCGACCGAATTATTCGAATTATTGTTTTTCCCACAATGGAATCGATATACGCGTTATATCCACGATCGAATAAGAATTTTCACGCGACAAATTGATTTCGATTGTTCGAGTTCAGAATGGAAGATTCAAACGATGAAAAATTTTATTCACGGCCAAGAAGATGGCGCGATCGAAATCAGGGCCCGGATTTTTATGCGAGTCCGTATTTTAATATATTCTAAAAACGGCGCATCGTTTTAACGGGCGGAAATAGCGTAATTTAAAGGTAGCAAGGGAATAGGGTGGAAGAAGGTGAACGATTCTTCTCAAATATTCAAGGTTCGTCGTTTAAACTTTGATTACTCTCGATTCATCGGATTCACGGGATTCGGGGTTCGCGCGAGTCCATCGCGAATTCATCAAACGTTGTAGCGTGCCATCCTCCGTAAATTTCCACTTACTCGAGGCTAAGTAACTCGTTCCACGAAGAAAGTTTAAGTGACCGAAGGGGAGGGGGCGAATAGTTGGAGCGTAATCATCCGATCCGGATGGGCTAGATTTATTATTCGAGATCAAAGTTTCTTGATTAGTCTATTATTAGTTGGGCGTGATTACACAGGGAGCCACATTCGAAACGTGGTTAAAGTTTCCCCCGCGGGGTTAACGAAGAGGCTATTAAAAGTTCACTTATCAAAGACAAGCAATGCATCGATCGTAAACCGATCACATTTGCATTTCATTTTAGAAGATTAAAAGATATAAAAAGGGCTAAAAGAGATATGTAAAAGATAGGATCCAATTTCCTTGGGAAATCTTGATCTTGCAAAAGAAAGGAGGAGGAATTTAAAAATAAAAAGTTGAATAAGAACCGTTTATCCCGAGATTAACAATCTATTGGCGGGCGTAACAAATTTCTGTTTATAAATTAATTCATATTTTGAAATTTCTCAAAATCCTCCCCTATGAAACTTCTTTCCCTTTTAAATATAATAGAATCTTCTTTATACGAATTTTTCTCTACTGTAATCTTTTATGTATAAAACAAATCAATCTATCTATTTCTTTTCGACGAAACAAACGAATTAAATCATTAGAAATAAATTTAAAATCCTAATACGAAGTTGATTATATATTGTTTGATTAATAAAACATATGGATATGGATAAAATTTATAAATTCCAGAAATAAAGAAAAATTAAAAATTCGACGTTAAATTTTTTCTAAACGTTTCTTCGAAGTTTCGAACGATAATTCAATCGATTCACTCGATTCATCGAATTTCTGTCGACGTGGTCGATCTCAGTGAAGTAAGGGGAGAGGGGGAAATACCGCGACGCGTAAGGTAAATTCGTGTGTACACGCGAAAGCGGTTAAGGTGCATGGACCGTGTATATATATATATATATATGGTGATTATATGTATTCCATATACACAGACTATTATTACTCGGGGCACAACAACGTACTACAACGTACTACAACGTGCAAGCATGCTACGAGACGCTATCGAAGCAACATGCAAACTGCCTTTATCACTACTGCGAAGTGTACAATCTTATGTTATCTAATTTATATAAATACTTATATCTAATCGAAACTTGTGATTATGCAACGTTATGCGGCTGGAGGATCTGAAAGTTGTTGGATTCTTTAAGTGTGAAATTCTTTGTAACGGGACAAAGGTTTCCTTCGTGTCCCAATCGCATCGAATTATTATCATCGATCTTAGGAAGAATCACGAGGCCAACATCTTTGGATCGTTAAATCGATCTTCGAAATTGATCTTCGCTTCTCTGTCTCTGTTTACACATAATTTCGCTTGATCGAAACGTTGGTTAGTTAGCCGACGAAACTCGTACCAGAATTGATGCCCATGATGTGTGTGACACGATCTTTTCATTTTTCTCTGACCATTTTTTTTTTCCTTTTCACATTTTCCACGTGAGATGGATACAACAATATCTATCCATCTCAAGATTTATTAATCTCGATTTACTCAATTCGTTCGTTCCGAATTAAACAGATCCCCAAATTGCATTTTTTTGCCTTCTCTCGCTCCACCCTTTTATCACGCGCGATAAACGTTCGAGACACACGTTTTCACCTTCGTATATCCACTCGCGAAGCACGCTTGGCGAGTATGCCGCGCGGAGATAGATGATTTTCGAAAGGAATTGAGCGAAGAATAAAAGAAAAAGGGGAAAAGAAGAAGAAAAAAAAGAAATGCTTTTGACTCGGTCGGAACGAGTCGCGCGACAAAAGAAAGGGAGAGAGAGAGAGAGAGAAAGAAAAAATCGTTGGGTTTTACGACAAGATAAATAACAATTGTCGCCATAAATTCGTAGATTCCCAACGCTCTCTACGCGAATTTTTTCGCTCTTTTTTCCCCTCCCTCCTCTCCACTTCATCCCCCCGTCGATGTTACATCGAGAATTTTTACGACTATTACAAACGTACGAGTGGAAGTTTCACGATCGTTATAGGTGTGAAATTTTGTTGGGTGAGAGAGGGAGGGGAGGACAAAGATATATATATATATACATATATATATAAAAGAGAGGGAGAGGGAGAGAGAGAGAGAAAGAGAGAGAAATTGAGGAAACTTTAGGAACGAACTTGGACATTTTACAGCTCCAATAACGGCTGACACTCACTCCAATGCTATGCTGGAAAGATTTCAACCCGAGGCGACGCTTACCACCGTCATCGACGTTGTATACGTTTGCCGCGATATTTTTGTGACGTTTTCAAGCGCGGAAAGTTTTATGCCGGATAAACGTACGGATTTATGCTATTGCGATGCTTGGATACCGCTTCGAGGGTTGCGAGACGCAAATAAGAAGAAGAAGAAGAAGAAGAAGAAAAAGGGATAGATAGAAAAGTGGCCGTTTCGTTTGGCATCGGTCGAATTATCCTGCTCCTCGTAACGGAATGACGAGACCTCTAAATTTTAATTCAGAGCGAATTCTCTATTTTTCGTTGGTCATTGGTAAATGAATTAAATTATATTTCCTCGAGTCAAAAATGTGGAATGACGATTTTTCATTTTTCAACGAGTCATCGTTTTTAAGAGAAAAATTGATTGTGAACTGATTGATTGTGAATTGGAATATTATAGGTATAATATTATATTAGATAAATGGATCTATTTGATAAAGAATTTTCTCTTATCTTGCATCACGATATTCACGCTTATATTTAAGTAAAATTAAATTTTTATGAACACGATTTATAAAAAAAAATAAAAAGAGTGATAAGAGTTAACACATGAAGAAGTTTCCACGGAGAACGAGTTTAAATATAATTAAAAAATACCTATCGTTTTACTTAGAAAGAAAAAAAAGGAAACTAAACCCTGAAATCGTCGTCAATGCCTGGTCGTGAAAAATGAGAATTGTCGAGATCTATCCTAAACCTCACTTCACCTCGTTTACGAGTTATAAGTGTAATTCTCAACTTTTCGAGCGATAGAACACGATATCAGATTATCTCTCGTTATAACCGTTAACTGTGATAAACACGAGGAAATTTCCAACGAATCCAACCAACGACCAATGACAAGTACCAACTTTTGCAACACGCACGAGATTTTTCACGAAGTGGAAAGTTCACCCTTCAAGTGGCTCGGAACGATCCTATCCCGCGTATTTCGATATCCGCATCGTGTATCGCACAACGAGCGTGCATCCACTCCCTCTCTAAAAATTATATTGCTTCTTTCGCGAGGCAAAAAAAAAAAAAAAAAAAAAAAAAAAAAAAAGAAACGTGGATAAAGTTGTCATATTAATAGAAGGCTAGGAGGTTCTCCGTTGCGTTCCAGAGCTCGCAATTTTTAATTTAAAACGTATGCAAGTAACTCCGTTGTAACCCGTGGCGTTGATGTCACTTCGGGCGGCAAGTTGTCATGGCGGCGCGCTTTGCCCGCGTTTGGCGTTTCTCCAGGCGCAGTGCGGTCGTGTCGTCGATGCGCACTGGACGCCGTGTTACATTTTTCTTCTTTCCTCCCCCATTTTCATACTCCATCGATTAAATATTCAACTCGATCCGTCACTCGTCTCGAGGATCCCGTGGACACGAAACAATCTCACGTGTGTCTCACGAGATCCTATCTCTCGACGTCTGGAAAGAAATATATATATATATTTCTCGACGGATATACGGAATCACGTTTCCTCGTGAGGGGCCATTCTCTCGTAACGATGCAAGGAAACGTCGCCCCTCGCATTGTCGAGTGTATCTATCTAAGGACACTTTGCAACTTTTCCTTGGCAAGAGAAGAGAGTTCGCGGGGGAGGGGGGAAGGGAGGGAGACGAGGGGAGCAGGCAAGCAGCGCGCGGGCAAGCGTTTGCCTACAGATGAACATCGAGATAGAAAAGAAGACGAGACAAGAAACGAGGAATACGAAACTACCAGCGGCTATGTAATACAGGTAAGGATAGCTCTTGTGCATGGATAGCGAGCGAGTGAATGAGAGAGAGAGAGAGAGAGAGAGAGAAGCGGTTTCAAAAGCGAAAGCTCGCAAGCGAATCGAAACTGGAAAAGAGAAAGAAAGAAAGAGAGAGAGAGAGAGAGAGAGATAGATACGGAGGAGAAGAAAGAGGAAAAAAAAAAAAAACGAAAAACGCAAGGAGAAAACGCAACAGCGATGTATGTATATATATATAATATACACACGACGAATGGCAAGTACGAGGCTCGTACGAGAATTTCACATTGTGCTCATCCTGCTATCCTCGACGGGCGGCCAGATTCTGTGGTGTATATATACGTGCGCATAATCTCGCGGCACACCTGCGTGCGTGGATTATCTGCGTGCACACACGTGATTTTGTGCAAGCGTACGAGCGCGCATACGCATCAATATCGATATGTGATGATATTGGAATATGTGTGTGTGTGTGTGTATAAGGGGAGATCATCAGTAGTGATTCATAGCGACCAGAAGCAAGTACTGCACACACACACGCACACTGACAATGATTAACAGCTTAATTAATTAAAACAGTGTGTCGTAGTATATCCATAATATAATATAATATTATACGTATAGATATAATCTATCGACACTATTTATTCCGATGTTGTGATATAATCTCGATTGTAACGTCGCACAAGCTATAGTAGTCTTTACTTTTCCTTTTTTTTTTTTTTTTTTTTCTTTTTTCTTTTCCCCCTTCCTTTTCTCTCATTATCGTAATCTCATTATCGTTCTATGCGTTCGTCGGCTGGCCGGAAGGAAGCATAGGGATTTCGGGACACACAGGGGATCTGTTATATCTCGTTCGATTGTATCACGGACTCTCTCTTTTGCCATCCGTTTCCGCTCCTCTTTTCCATGTTTCCGTTCGTCGTACCCGACCCGAGAAACGTCCGTCTGATGTCCAGAATCTGGGGGATAACGGGGGATAGGGGAGAGAGAGAGAGAAAGAGAGAGAAAGAGAGATAGAGAGAGAGAGAGAGAGAGAGAGAGAGAGAGAGAGAGAGAGAGAGAGAGAGAGTCGTTGGCAGCATCGTTCGCGCGAGACCTTCTCGCTGATGTGACCTCGACGAACGTTGTGGAAATTCTAAAAGGAAAGATGAAAGGGGGTGGAAAATTGATAGGAAAATTGGCTACTTTCCTCGAAAGTCAAGGGAACAAGTCTTCCGTTCGAATCAGACGACTGGATTATATATATAGTGAATACATATATATATATATATATATATATATATATATGATGGAGAAGAGGGCGAGGGGAGGGAGGGAGGGAGGTACGAATGGAGGCTCGCCAACGGGTGTAAAAATCGCGAGTCACGTCCCAGGTGACAGTGTCGACTTGATTTGGTTTCCGCACAGGGCTCAACACCTGGGGTCCAGCCTCGTGCATTCAGCTCTCAAACTCGCATCCCTGGATCGCTAAATGATCGATTCTTTTTTTCGTTTCTTTTCGATTATTATTATCTCTGTCCCTCGAGATCGAAGGAGAATCGAAGGAGAATCGCGTATTCGGTTCTCAAATTCATCTTCATGGATCCAGTTTTCGCGCCAGTTTGAAACTGATTGCAGACACCGGAACAGACATCTTTGAATACTACAGGAATATACGCAATACACAATACGTCATATATGATTACGCTATATATACGTATCTTAAATATTGAGAAAGAAAATTTATATATATTATATATTTATATAGTATATATATATATATATAGATATAGATATAGATATATATATATATATATCATACGTGACGCTGTATACACGCTTATATACGTATACATCTAGAGATTGCGAAAGTACGTGTACGTCTACGCGTATATATGCGTGCCTCAACGTATGTGCGGCCTGCAGCGTTCGAATCGCGACTCGTTCTCGATTTGTTCGGAGGGATCCCGCTTAAAACTGATTCGCGGAAGGAAATAAAAAAAAAAAAAAAAGGAAAAAGAATCGGCAGAAATTTGGACAAAATTGCGGACAGCGATACGCGATATTTTTCACTCTCTTCGAATCTAGAAAAGTTGGAAATATCGTTCCGCTGTTTGCCTTCGTACCTCGATTCCGTTGTAAATCCGTTCTGTGCGCGATAAAATAGAATGGGGGGAGGGAAACGATAAAATCGCGCGGAGGGAAAAACCTGAAAAGCCCGAGTACCGAGGCGCGATTACGATCGAACGAATTTTTTTCCTACCCCTCCCCCCCTCCTTTTCCTCTTTTTTTCGAGAGCCCTCGTTTCGAACCCCTCCCCACTTAAAGTACGCAACGGTTCGTTTTCGTTCGTCGCCGATTCGAGCGCTGCGGGTAGGGCCATGCAACAAGAAAGAACATCGCAAATCGAATTAAACGAGTCAACCATAAACCATAAACGAAGTGGACAAGAATATATCTTGCGAAGACTGTGGAACGTAGCAAGGTTCCCTTGTAACAGTTCAGCCAACCAAACAGCTGTGACGAGCTATAAAAACGTAGGTTAGTAGGCCATCCGTGTAGGGTGTGTCGTGTGTGTATGTCTTTTTTTCGTAGGCGCGCGTGTGTGTGTATGTATGTGTGTGTGTGTGTGTATGCACGTGTATCCGTATATCCATTTTTCCCTCCCCACGGTGTGTCGGTTGTGTATGTATATACGCATATACGTATATATACGCATATGTATGCAAACGTGTGTGCGTGTTTATACGTGCCAATATGCCCCTTGCTGCCAACATAAATATCGCGGAACGCGATGCCTAATGCGTCTCTCGGTGCACGTTTGCAACCGAGTCGAGAATTCCTCGAGATTTCGATGCGCGTGTGAAAATAACACGGGCAGGCACATTCGTCTTGACATATCTCTCTCGAAATCTTTACGCTGTAATTCCACCGTTGTGACAACGACACTACGATGAATCACACCACCGTATTATTTTTTTTTTTTTTTCTTTTGGACAACGCGAAACGAACGAACGAATATTCAACGTCTTCCACGAATATTTATTACGTATGTACGACTCGCGTCTCGGTATTGTTCCTTCGTTCGAGTTTCACGCGTCGAGCGAATACGGATGCCGATATTTGTTGAACGCGCGATATTCGTTGCGCGCATGCGCGCGGGTTGGATAATCGCGAAACAAACAATCGGAAACAAGCGGCATAGTGGGACGAGGGGCGCTCTCGAAAAGCACGATTTCGTTTCTGGGTTGACGCGCACGCTCCATCTCGACACGATCGATCGATCGATCGATCGATCGATCGCGTTTCGAGCCGCGTGCTGGGCGTGACCGTCGATCCGTCACCGACGGATCTGTGAACACCTCCGCGAACGGTGATTGAACGCGACGTGGTGGACGAAAAAAAAGGGGGGACGGAGGCGGGCGGGGGGGGAGGGGCGGGGTAAACGCGCGACAGTACACGCACGAGCGAAGAGGGGTGACAGGGGGCGGGGGAGAGAGTAATAAGTAGCAATAAAAGAAATGAACGGGCGGCTGAGTCGTTGTGAGTTCTGTATGAGTTTTGAGAATGCAAACTGTACCATCAACACTTCGGACACGGAGCTGATGCTGAGGACATACATGGTGACGCCGACCTCCACTGGTGGACCTGCAATCAACAAAACCATCCGGCCTTGGTCGCTTTGATTATCCGCTATGTATTTCTAAGTTATACCGTACAATTGTTACAATTGTGCACATTGTACGTTCGTGGAACAACGGTTAAGTTCGTGTGTTTACCCCTGATTCGAGCGGGGTTTCGAAATAGGCGAATAGTTTCTATATTGAATCAATTTGAATTAAAAGGGGGGAAGTGTGTTCACATTTATTTTTTCAAGTCAAATCGCGAATCAGGGGTAAAATGCAAGCGTACAAGTCGAAGAGAGCTCGCACCCTGCACGGAACCAAATCACTCAACAGCATTCGTCGGCCACGTTGCTTTTCCAAGCTAAAAGAATTATTTTTACATTTTGACTTCTTTTATATATATATATATATACATATATATAGATATATATAATTTTTATTTTATATATATATATATATACATATATGTATATATATATATACACACCCATCACAGTCACGCGTTGAGTCAAGATGACGTTACTTCACTCAACTATTATCGTCTTTTCTTTCATTTCCTCTTTGTACTTTTTCGTTTTCATTCCTTTCTCATTTTCCATTCAATCTCTTTTCCTTCACGCGATTTCAATCTCTTCTGCTTTGCGGCGTTGTTAACCGAGTTATCATACATAATTAAATCGCGCCAAATATATATCTATAGTACTTTTCGAAAGCATTCTATATTTATTTTTCAATTGTCTCTTTTTTCTCTTGTCTCTTTCCTTTTCTATCCACCTGTCCATCCATCCCCCCTGAACGATGTGTCGATTCTTTCACGTTCTTTCATCGCATCATCTCTATTCTTTTTTCTCCGTTCACAATCATTCGTACAACTCTTTCTTTTTTTTCCTTCTGTCTCTCTCTAACTCTCTCCTCTCCCTNCCTCTCTCTTTCTCTCTCTCTCTTTATTTCAATCTCGTTCATTCGTCTCCTCTCGAGAAACGTACACGTATTTATATATATATATATTCTCGGCAAGGAGAAAGATTCGCTGTCACTGAGATTCTTCGAATCTTAATCTTAATCTCTGATCACGTCTCTTCGCTCATTATATATATATATATATATCTCTTTTCTCTTTCTGTTCTTTTCTCCTTTCCACATTTTTTTCTCTTTCTTTTTTTTTTTTCCACGAATCAGCCGTACAAAGAAGCGTACTCGAAAAGCTCAGCTGTGTGAACGTCTGTGTTTTCGAGACGTGGACGTTAAATGTTTTTTTCTTTTTCTTTTTTTTTTTCTCCTTTTTTTCGTGTTCGAGAACGAACGTGTGATACGTGCGGTGTCAGACACAAGAGGGGG